TTCACTGCAAAGATACACTTGGTGGAACCTCGTCAATGGTGCTGTGACAAGGCCCGATCCCTCTCAGCTCTCGTCAATCCCTCACTAAATTACTTGGTGCTGAGAAGAGCGGCCCTGGTCTTTGTGGGTTCGGAAGGTGTGGAGGACTTGACCTGGATTATCTTCCACCTTTGGATCCCTGCGTGCCTTGCTACAAATACAACCGTCTTTTCAACAACGCCCAACTGTCGCAGCTTTCGAAGGTGAGGAACGGAGGGTGCCTCATTTTCCTAGCCGCCGAATCGAAATTTGAGTTCGAGTCAAGATCGTGGCTTCTGCTGGGTCTCCCACGACAGGCAAGACATTGTTGCGTCCCGACAATCCTCGCAAAGATTGGCAAAAAGGTGGTAGTGGTGGTGAGGCTGGTTCAAGGATGGCCACCTCCACCCTCCACCACCACCTGCCCTCAAGGACCGGAGGGGCATGCATGCCCTCGGCCACTCATGCCAGCCAACCTAATGCCGCGAGCCCACGAACCCTGTCCGTCTGGGAATCGCTTCGCAGCGTGGGCATCTGTTGCTTTTCTGTCTGCGCAGCACAGAGGGAGAACTATTACGGGAACTCACCCTAGTCCAACAAGACAGCGACTGGTTCCGACGCCAGCTCTATGGACGCCACCTCCAATATCATATGCATGGCTGACTCTGGGCGGGAAATGGTGTGCGGTGCTGAGTGCCCCCCATGGAAACCCTGGGGAACGCAACGAGACCGCCGACAAACGACGAGAACACCTCAGCTCATTCTGTATTACGGTACGGATAGCACGCATACACAGGGGAAGGAGGCGAGCTTGGAGACAAGACCACCTGCACTTCGTTGGGCTTGGCTTGGTACGGATGGGATACACGAGCAACCTTGTCCACGACGCCGCGGTAGCTTGCACCTGGCCAGGCCAGACCCGGCCACTTCTTGTCACTACAAAACCATGTCCCGATGGGACGCATCGTTTTCGACAAGCAGCATGTCGCCACAATTAGCAGAAACCCCAGCTGCAATACCGCTCCGGCCGAAAGAAATGTGCACTGCGGCCAGCTCTCCGTCCGCATGCTTCTCACGCGGCTTGCAAAAAAAAGCGAACACCTAATAGTGCCGTAATAAGAAGGCCTATTTCCTCACTCTAAACGTGTACTAAGAATATTGAAAAATATCTTCGAAAATTAAGAGGGTAATAAATCACTTTACTATGTTTTTTTCGTTATATAAGAGCTTTTTATCGTTAAGATATCTACGATAGAAAGTACTGACTTTTATAAGGATTTAGTAGTCTGGGCTGTGTAGTGATCGCTTTATTTTGCAAGCCGCGTGCTTCTTTAGTGTCCCCGGTATGGAGTATCCGTACTCTCACCTCGCTTTGCTACTTTCAGACCGTGGACCTGTTCGCTTCTTCAACTCACTCTGACGTCACGACCCAGCCGACGTTCAGACGTTGGACAGCAGCCTCCAACGTCTTTGGAGGACCTGACTCTTGCCGCAGCGCTAGTTGGTCATGAGCAGTCCCAGAGAAAGCCATGCAACCATATCCGGCCTAAAAAGCATGCTCTAGTGCGCGAATATACTCTCCATGTGCTGCTTACCTACACGACATTGCAGATCCTCACCCCGATTGCCAATACCGTGCAGGAAACCAACCCAACCACGCGTCAACGGAGTCGGTTTCTTCCAACGGCGGCCTAACTGTACTTTCTTTTGATCTTCAGCCTCCCTCGTAAGCATCCCTCTACGACGGTCATTCTCGCTTCACGTCCGTCAGATTTGAGCATTGACGAAAAAAAAAAAAAAAAAAAAAAAAACCCCCGGCCGGTTTTGATTCATTTTCTCCAAACCTCGCAACACTCACAATGTGACCTGTCACCCCGCTCACTTTCTGACCTTGGTCATCCAGGGGTGCTAGCCCACATTCATGTAAGTCGTTGGATTAGGAAGACTCCCCTTCCACGCCGACCCAAGCTAAATTATACAGAACGCTCACCGACTGCCACCTGGCATCGGAAACCGGGCAAGAACAGCAGGCCTCAGTCGTCTTTTGCTTTCGCACGGGACACTACGCAGCGAAGGATTCCTTCGCTGGCGACGCAAGCTTACCTTACTCTTATGAGCGACTCACATCGACACACCGCTGAAGCTGTCTCATTCGCCAGCGGACCCCTATATTAGAAGCTGACATTAAAAACAACTGCTCGACCGATGCCAAAATCTGACCAACTGCAACCTCACCTCCAAGCCACAGCAACATCCCGATCAGTCCAATGATGGAATCCCTGGAGTAGCTGCCTGCTAGCCATCGGTGCGCCAGAATGAAAAGAGAAGCCCACCCCCAACCTCACGCGCGCGTGACAGGAGACCCGTTGAGGTGATCAATCACAATCGGCAGCGTGCTGGTCCCCCGAGTTTCAAACCAACCCCAATACTAACCATTTCCTTGCTGCCTCCGACCTTCAGGCTCCGCAAACTCGTTGCTTTTTCACAACTCGCCTGTGCACTTGCTGCCCTCGTCAGTGTCTATTTACCCAACCCCTTGCCTTTTACGCAGGGACTCGGAAGCACGACAGGGGATAGGAGAGAAAAAAACCGATCCAACCTCTCGCAGAGAAGGGTTTTTTCTGTCTTTCCAACACTGCTCACACAATCGCACAATTTCCCGCTGAGGTCTGCTTATTCATGGGGTCCTTCAACATGTGCGGCCGCCAACATGAAGAGAGTGGGCAAATCAGGACCGCTCTGTTGAAATCCCACAGCAGGATCGACCACTCCCATGTCAGAAATACAGTGACCCCGGAAACCAAGCTTCGACCCGTCAGCCATGAACAGAACCTCGACTGATCGACATGACCGCTGAGACCGAGCTCCACGCCGAGTCTCAAGCCCTGTATATACTTTCCTTTTGGGCCTTTGAGCCTCGACAGAGCCTCGTCTCGATTTTCCATCGTCAAAGGCGCCAATAGCTCGAGGTTAATGGCGGGGCGGGCCCTCCCCCATCCCAAATCCACATTCTAGAAGAATGAGAACGGGCAGAAAAAAAAATCACAAGAGCAACGCTGCTACCTAAACTCGGGGCGCTGCGGCGCTTCGGGTAGAAGCATCCAACCCCGTCCAACGACACACCGGTCAAAATTTTGCTGAAAAAGCAAAGAGACTCCCGTAACCAAGGCCCTATTCCTTGCGCGCAGTTCCCGCTGTGAGACTAAAAGACACCCTGGTGACCCCCACCGGGCGCGAAGGCCGTGCGGCCAACATGCCTCTCTCGCTTGCACGCCGGAGGAGGGACGCAGGAGACGTCAAGAAAGTAAGAAAGAAAGAAAACAAACTATGTCCTGCCTGCCCGAGAAAGCATGCGAGCTGCGGGAACGGTACGAATCCGAAGACACACTATCCAGCAGGAGCCCACCCGCAGAGGCAAGGACAAACCAAATAACAACAAAACCAAATCATCATGTCTCGGCTACCTGCAGCCATACCATGCAATGCCCTCCTCCCTCTCTCCCCCTCACATCCCCCACTCCTCCTCGCCTTCTCTCTCTCGTCTCTGCCGCCTCCTGGTCGCATCTCCAATGTCTGTGCTGTGCGCATTTTACTCCCCGTCAGCCTAGCATCCCGTTTCTTTCTCCTCGCCGTTACCTGCCCGCCCGCTTTTGCCTGCCGGGCACCCAGAAGGAGGACCATACCAACTACCCAAGTAGGCAAAAGGTCGCTTCGCGTCCCCTCCAAAACCAAAGGGGGCTCCACAATCTCACCGGCCCGCCGGGATCTCCAATAATAAGATCCGTTGCCCGTGGCCGTCCGGCGTTGCGTCCCCCCTCCCCCCTTCTTCTCGAAAACTTCAACTATGAAGCAAGGAAGAAAAGAAGCCCGTCCGAGTTTCATCGGAACCACACCGTCGTAGTATCAAGAGAACCCGTAGTCTGAAGAGAGCCGCGGGACGGCACGCGAAAAACTACTTTGAGAATGAGAAAAGAAAGCGAATGCCACCTCATGTAACTCTGTGACTACACCCTCCACAACAGGAAAACCGAGGTACAGTATGGGGTAACGAGACCAGGCCAAGCTATGACTGCAACAGAGAGCGAGAGCGAGAGGGAGAGAAGAAGAAGTCGGCGGACACGGCTGAGGCTGCGCATTGGCAAGGCAAAAGGAAGAGGCCACCCATCCTTCACCACAACGAACCTACTCTACTCTACAGACTCATACGGAGGAGGGGAAGGAATGTGGTTACACAGAGCCGCCACCACCAACGCCGCTCTCTCCTATTTCTTATTCCCATATTGAACGTGACAAAGTCCCCCCAAATCCCCCTTCCAACTAGCTAGCTGTATGATGACCGACACGCAAGAGTATGCTGATACTCCAGACACAAAACGTATGTGTGCATGTGTGTGCGTGTGCCATTTCGTCTCAGACACGGCTCGCGCTTCTCGGCCGGAAAGACCAGGAGGGGGAGTCAGCCTGACGGTACGCCGCGTATCAGGGGCGACGCGGCACGTCTAGACACTTCCATGCTGGGTAACTTCAAGTCACGTCCCAAGGGGGCGAGTTACACGACACAGTTCAGCAACAGTTTGAAAAAGGGTCGGTTACTACTACGACTACCGACACTTGTTGATGCGTCCATGATATGTACAAGATCAGACAACCCAATGCCGCCACCTTCGCAAAGACAAGAGTGCAAACAGCTCTTTTTCAAAGCACCAGCCTCTAGAGAGGAAACAATACGCAGAAAGCAAGAACAATGTCAACGTTTCCAGTGCAAAATACAATGCGGATTCTCTACCCTCTCGGCCGTCCCCCATTATTACAAATGCCGAGCCTCTTACGACTGACTATACTTCGTGGTCCCTCCTTTTTGTCATCAGAAAAGAGAAAGAATAAAAACACAAGGCCGTAATCGCGCCTCTCGTATAAAACCCGTGGTACCCATCATGCTGCTCAAAAACAAAAACGCCCGCCGTGTGTGTGAGATTTTGCTTTTATGCGTCAGAGTGGTAGTACTCGTCATTGTACTGGTGGCCGGGAGGCATCGACCAGGTGTTGCCGCCTCCGACGACGTTCTCCTTGGATCCCCAGTAGTTGCTGCGTGTCCGACGCTCGCGCTCGAACTCGGCCCATCTCTTCATGGTGATCTTGCTGCTATCGAATTCTCCCTCGTACTCGAGACCGGCCTTCTTCGTCTTCTCGCCCGCCGTCTTTCTGGTATCACCCCAAGAGAAGTCGTCAAACTTCCAGAAGGCGTACGTGGGCAGGATAAAGTTCCAAACAGGCAGAGAGAGCAGGTAAATAAGCATCCACAAGACGTACGACCAGGAGTGAGCGGTGATAACGATCAGAACGGCTGGCAGACCAAGAATGAGTGCAAGCAGGACAAGGGGGATGATTTGTGGCGGTTGGTTGACAATGGAGATGATGACTGAGAGTGTTAGCTGTGTACTAAACAAAGCTGGACGAGAGTTACTTACCGACGTAGAAGGTGAAGGCGATAGCAGCAGGCAACACGAGCGTTCCCATCAGTTCGATAAAGACGACAAACTGCATACTGAAGCAGAAGGTACCGCAAAGATCACGGACCAAGACCAGCTCCATCAAGTTGTGGATAGTCGAGTTAATCCAGCGACGACGTTGAGAAAGCAGGACGCCAAACTCATCAGGAACCGTGGTTTTGCAGACAGCCTGAGGCACAAAGACCTGCTTTCGCTTGGGGAAGGTCCTGAGCATCAGCGTCGTAAGGTATCGATCCTCACCGAGCAACAGGAGGTTCTTCTTATGCAAGGTGTCGACGACGTTCTCGGAGTAGTGCTCAACAATGTCAGGGTTGGCCAAGATAGGAACCCAGTAGTCCTGAGCTCCCTTGGGTGCCTTGATGCGGTACATGCAGAAACAACCGGGCAAACAGGTGACACCACCAAAGACAGACTCGAAAGACTTGGCCAAGTGATGGGAGATGAAGTACTCAAAGACCTGAATGGCAGTGACCCAGGAGTCGCGCTTGTTGGCGATCTTCGTTTCTCCGCAAAGACCCATGATCTCGGGATCCTTGACCATGGCAGATACCATGTGAGTCAGACTGTCGGGGAAGACCTTGGTATCGGCGTCGACCATGAGTACTATCTCATAGAAGTCGGGGGAGATACCCGTGACCTTCCAGAGACCGTTGAACATTTCGTACTCAAGCTCGGTCATACGCTCGTCAAACATGACCTTTTGGAGGAAAGACATGAGAATGATCTGACTGTCACGCTTGCCACGGTTGCCGGGCTTGGACTTGGAAGCCTCATCAGGGGTACCGCACTTGACAACGAGGAGGACAGGAACTCTCTGCTGCTTCTCGAGAGGGATGGCAGACTTGGTGCCGTAGTCGTAGAAACCCGAGTAGACCTTGGCCATGTTGTGTCGCTTCGAACCGCTGGCTACCGCCACGTATGAGAAGGGCTCAACCTCATCAGGGAGGATCGTGTGGTCCTTCATCATGTCCAAGCAGTAGTCAGGAGTGGACTTCGTTTCACCCTTGCCCTTGATAATACCGTCGCAAATAATGACAATGACCTTGTGGCTGTTGGGATAGTCGGTCATTGCGATGGAGTCCAGGGTTGTGCGGAGACCAAGCAGACCCTCAGAATAGGCCGTAACCAAGCACATCGTATGAGCCAGAGGGAATCCAAAGGGCATCCAGTCAGCGGGAGGCTGAGGGACAACGGCCTCGTGGATGAAGCCCGCGGGCCCGGGGCCATCAGTCGGGCTTGCAGTAGAGGTGTAAGGATCTGAGCGAAGGAAACTGGTACGGCTGTCATTGCCCTGGCGGTACATAGTGTTGCCTGGATGCAGCATATTGCCGCCCGCTCCGGAGCTGGCCATGGTCAACGGCGCACGCTTTCCGCCAGCCGGGACTGCACCCGCTCCATAAACGGCAGAGAACCGGGAAGTAGTGGGAAGGAATGAGCTGCCACGCTTGCTAGTGCGGTCAGAAGAGCCGTTAACACTACTTCCAACATCGCCAGGCAGTCTGGGGGGCGCCCGGTAGATATCCTCGGACCAATCTTCGATCTGACGGTTACGCTTGCGCTTGTCGCCGGTCTGAGAGGTTTTGGCCGCAGCGTACGTTCGGCTGATGAACCACTGGAAGAAGATGGCGAGGAAGAACCTCGTCAAGACGACTGCCAGAATGAGGACAAGCGAACAGTAGAGGACGACCTTGGACGCAATGCAACCGACAGTCTCAGTGTCGACCGAGCCGACCTTGATGATCTCCTCGAAACACTCAGCAATCTGCTTGTCGGTCGAAGACTGGAAAGCTCTGGTGACATCGCGTCCGCGGATGGCCTGATTGACAGCTGAGGTCTTGTCCTTGAGCTCGTCGAAACGCGAAGGCACCTTGACCTGAGAACTGTTGAACCAGTTGAGCATGTCCAGGTCGAGAACGTTGCCAGAGTAGACAATCAGGTTGCGAGAGCTGTTCTTGATGTCGTTCCAAGTGAAGTAGACGTCAGCAGACCCGCTCAAGTCAAGGTAAAAGGTGTCGCGAGCCTTCTGAGTGGTGTGGCAAGCCCATCCGAGGTAGTAAGGGATCGTCAGGTTTGGCTTGGACGATCCGTCCTGGTTGAAAGCCGTGCAGGGGAAATACCACGCCAAATCGCCGGCGCTGTTTGTGGGGACATCAGAGTTGTCAGCAAGAGTGATGAGGTTCTTGCAGCGGCCGTTGACGTTCTGGAAGAAGAAACTGCCGTCCATTCCCGTATACTTGGTAGGCAGGTCGTACAGGACGTTGGCGCCGTGAGTTCTGTTGACCATGGGCACGCCGTCGGCGGGAGGATGACGGGAGCCCGACAGGTCGTAGGCGGTTCCGTGGAAAATCATGTATCCCTCAGACACCTCGTTGACGCGCAGGCGCGGCGGAGGAGTTCCACAAACAGCTTGGTTAAAGCCAAAGGTCAAGAAACCGACGAATCCCATGATGAGCAAGATCAAACTGATCAGGCCGACCTTCTCTCTCCAGGCGCGCTGCTGGTTCTTGGAAGGCATGCCGCAACACTTCAACATGAAGTTTGGGCACCAGAAAGTGATGATGGCGCAGTACACGTTCCAGAAACTCGGCGGGCTAAGCTGCTCGGCCGGGTGCTTGCGCTTCTTCCCTTCCTTAGTGAGCTTGCCAGACTTGTGCCGGCTCAAGCGCTTCTCCTTCGTCCGAGTCGGGCCTCCCTTCTTCTCCTCCAAGCTGGCCTGCCTGCTGTTTTGCCCTCTCGGCGGCGAGGCATCGGAGTAGTTATCGTTCGTCTGCGAGCGCCCTGAAACGTCAGTTGTCCCTTCCATGTCCTCGGTAATCGGGTCGTTTCCGGTCGCGGACGGCAACACGTTCATGTTGGCGGCATGTTTCCTGTAGTAGTAGTTCGGATGGTCCTTGTCGATTCTGTGTCTCTCGGGTCGGATCAAGCTTCTCTTTCGCTGGAACGGTTCGGGGGAGGACGGTCCTGCGGCTGATCCTTCAAAGGTAGGCGACAAGGGCTGGCTTTCTGTGTTGACATTAGGAGTTGAGATCGTCTCGGGGAAGGACGTCGCTGAATGCCCACCCGCAGAAAGTCCTCTTTGATGGGAAGGTCGCCCTCCTACGGGATAGTAGCCACCGGTCTCGACATCGCCAGGGCGGTTGCGCCGTGACGGTGAATTCCGGTAGGATCTACTATTCTCGAAAGGAGGGCTTGGCCCAGGTCTTTCAGGGAGTGACATGGTCCTGCAGAGAGAGCGACGTTAGCTTTAGGTCTCATGGCGGTCAAGATTTGCGTCGAGCAACGTGAGATCGTCAGATGCAGCAGAGGGAGGACTTCACCCTTTCGAAAGACAAGAGAGGTTCTGTCGCGCGTAACGACGAGCGACAGATCGACTCGATTATTCTCGATGGTGGAGGGGGGTATTGTGGTGCAATGCGCAAAAATGCAAGGTGAAAAAAATTGACAATTGGGTAGCAAATGTCAAGAGACGGACAACAGCAGCGAAAAGACAACAGACTGTTGCGATGCAGATGCGGGTCGATCGCTGGGCTCGAAGGAGGTCATACTCACAGGAGTTGTTATTGGAAGGAAAGCAACGTCCAGCAGGATTTGTGGATTGTCCAGGCCTCGCACCCCTGCTATTGGCGGGGGGTTGTTCCTTGGGAGACCGCGAATCAATGGGGAAGCGTCCCTTTTTTCGACCCGGCTTTCCTGCGTTTCTGCGCCAGCAAATCGGGGGGCCAACAGCAAGGCAAGCAGGGAAGGTGCCAGCAAATGACCTTCTTCTCCAAGCAAGCAGAAGCCACAACCTGCTTGCTCCCTGTTCGGTGTGTCGGGCAGTAGTGAAGCTGCGACTCTTGCAAGAGAATAAGAGGGCGTGGTGAGGTGTAGCTGGTGAACGTGGGCAATCCCGGTGGAGCCTTCACAACATCGGGCGATGGAAGACCAGACCAGACCAGACCGCACGGCGCAGCCTACCAAGCGATGAACTCTCGACCCAAGCGGGTGCTGCCTTTTTTTGCCTTTCCTTCCTTTCTTCTTACTTCCCTGCAGCCCTCAGCAACACTCTTCTTTTTCGATCCGTCTGCGTACTTAAGCAAACGCACGGCCGATGCGCCTTCTCTGAAATTTGGCTCCTTGCACAACTTGGGACCAGGGGGCGCCGGGTCTGAGTCGTGTCAAGAGTAGCGACGAAATAGGATGCGATGTGAATGAGACGACGCACAACGGTGCAGGAGGATTATGGGATTGAAGATGATGGGATGGAGCGTGGGCGGGAAACCGTTTCGCAGCGGCGCAAATGCAGACAAAAGGTATCCTTTCGGAAGCACACCCAAACAGCAGAATTAGAACAAGAGCAACAGCAACACCGACAGCAATGGTGGTCGGCAGCCCAGGAGCCGCTCGGCTGTTTCGATAGTCGGATAGAGTTATTAATGTTGGGCGCTCTGGTGGCCCAGCCGGAGTTTGGGGTTGATGGGCGGCGGCGGTAGATGCACCTCACGAACGAGCGAGCGATGGATTGGCGGGGAGGCGACGACCGAGCAAGAAAAGCTGACGCGATCGTGCGCACTGCCTCGATGGTCCTTTTCCGGGGAACGAATGTTGGTGAGATTGTTCGTCGTTGTTCGTCGGGCGATTCGCTTCGTTGGACGTTGGTTGCTCGTCGCTGCGGGTCGGGATCAGGGTACAGAGAACAAGTCAAGTCTCTCAGCCTGTTCTTGATGACTGAGATGTTGGTCTGACAGGTGAAACGAGAGTGAGCAGCCTCGAAAAGCCAAGAGGACGATTCGAAATGCGATGTGCAAAGAAGGAACGAGAGGAAGGGTCGGGAGGGAGAGAGATGGCAAGACGGCTTGCACTTTCGCACGGCTGCAGTTGAGGCACCCTGAAGGAAGGGATGAGCGACGAAAATGGGGAGCGGATCTCGCAGAATTGCTTTGGGACAGCCCTTTCCAGCTCTGGTCAAGCACCGCACCACACGCTCCAAGGGACAGAGCAAACGGAGAGAGGAAAGGGGAAGTGACCTGCGTGGGAGCCGTCTTAGTGCCTCTGCCCCGATGATGATGGCTGGCGTGAGAGGTACCTCGTCCAAGGTGACGACGAGGGCGACGCTTTGGGTACCGTCTTGAGCGCCGCACCGTATCATTCCCATGCCAAACCGCCACGGCGCGGCACCCTCGCCTCAATCCATCTCGTATTATTGGCCTCGACATTGGCTCGCATTGCTACCTCGCTGCCGATGCCTCGCCCTCGTCGCTACGGTGCCATCCTTTCCACCCTCAAGAGTTTGAACACGCAGCCGTTGCCTCTCGTCTCGCCAGGCTGAACTTGACTTTGTCCTCGCAGAACCGCGCTGGCAGCTCGGACACTGCTTCCTCCACGATCTTCACATTAGTGAGAATGATGCGACAGAGGTCGAATTTCTCGTCTAACCCAGAGCAGGCTAAGGTTAAAATCGAACTGGATTGCCAGGCAAGGTGGGCACGACCTGAGCAGTACCCCGTTCAGCTCGGGGACAGGGGGAGAATTGGGTGCAAAACTCCACGCGCCCGGCAAATGCAGGCAATGTACCGACCGAGTAGCCCGGCGTCCGCCGTTGTCGTGGGCAAAACGTCGAGAGGAGAGCGCAGCTTTCTGGCACGCGAATGACCCAACTCAACCATCCGTTTCGCCCGTTTCATGCCCGTTATTTCGAGTGCCGAAACTCGAACGACAGACACCGGCCATCGCAATGAGCCTGTCATCGATCGCATCGCTCGCCCCCGTCGTGTCCATGACACTCTGTTGCCCGGCATGGAGCAGCGAGCGGGCGACAAGGACTCCAAAGGCGGGCACTGTCCCGTATTGTCCCCATGTGAGCATAAATCCACCCGCAGTCCAAAAGTCGGCACGGATACCGGGATAATACGCGCTTGTCTCCTAAGCTAGGCCAAGGAAACCAGATCAGCATGCAGGACCAGGGTTGCTATTTTCAAAAGCTCAAACCCCTGTTGCCCAGCCGACCAGCCGCCCCCAAAGCCTCCAAAAATGTCCTCCAGCTGAGAATACAGGAAAAAGAGAGTTTGCCTCTTCTGCTGACCCTGCTGCTGCACTTGGGTCCTTGTTTCTGGACTGAGCCAGCTAACGCCTGCACCTGCACCTGCGTCTGAGCTTTTTATTTTGTGAATACCTCAGCCAGATTTCTCCAACGGGTATTCTGTGCCTGTGCTGACTTGCTCAAGGCGCCCGACTGAATCTGGGGTCAGGCGAGAGGGATGGGGCCGAGTTGCGGAGGAAACGACCACAGAAGAAAGCACTTTGATTTCCACCTCCTAGTCCTTAGTCAGCCCGCCCAGCCAGTAGACGTCCTTGGCTGGAACATGTCATGACTTTGCGCCCTCAGAATCTGATTATCAGTGATCGTTCCTGTGCCTTGGCGTTATTGACTATTCCCGAGTCCAAAACATCGACATTCCCTGGCCTGGATATGTTAGAATGAATGATACCGGCAAAAAAAGCCTGGCCAGTCTCCGTTCTCTGATCACAAAGCCTTCCGTGCCTCTTGGCGGCGCCCGATAATAGTGCCTTGGTCAACTTGGACGCAATTTCGAATCTCGAACCTTGACTCCTGGGTTTGCATCAGATATGAGGAGATGGCCAAGATCGCCATGATGCTCTTGGAACCCACCGAGGAATGTTCCACCACCTCCGGCAACTATTCTCACGAATCGGTTGTCCATGCCGCTTTCGATAGGATTAGAGGACCCTTTCCCAGCAGCCTCCAGCAGAAACGAAACAAACACGCTTCGTGGGGGTGTCCCCGTCCCACGGAAGAATGCTCGCACCACCCACGCCAGCATCCATCTCCGCTGCAGCTGTCATCGTTGCTGTCAAAGTAGACAAACCCGGTCGACAATACCAGTAAGCTTTTGCGCCTTGGCCAACAGTCTCGGCTGCTTCGGCCTACGAATACTGAAGTCCCCTTGCCGCCTCCGCCTGGAACGAAATCACCCAGCCTAGTACATGGTACCCTTCTCAGCCTCCCTTAGTATCCGTAGAGCGTCCACTTGAAGTTCTGCCGGGCTATCGTGTGTAATCCACCACGGCTAGCCGCACGTTCTCATGTCTCCTGCGTGTGTTTAGTGTCTGTCCCACAACGTGCCAGGTTCCAGATCCCAAGATTCTGTCAAGGGGAGAAGAAACTCTCGGAAGCGACAAGCGGCCATCGCCAAATCTTGGGGTCTGAAACTTGCCAGCCTCTTCCAAATTGGGCGGGTCGCCGCATCACAACATTACCTACACATGTTTTTGTAAAATATTCGACTCCAGATTTATGAGTTTTGAAACCCCCGGAGGCTCTCGTCTGGTCTGACGTGTATTTTGATTTCGATGAGCACAAAACCTCGGAGTTTGACCAGACAGACCGACATTCCTGACCGCCCCGAACTTGTCTCATCCCAAAACATGCGAACCTTTGGCCAACGTGCCGTATCAGACGAAATATGTGGAGTCTGTGTGGTCCGTCGGCTGGAATGTTTCCAGTAACTTGTTTGGACGCTGTGATTGCCGTAAACATGAGTAGGTGACGTTTAGACCGAGACAACTTGTTGACATCAACTGCGCCCCCCGTTGGTCCCACATTGCTTCAATTGTCAAGATGCGAAGTCCAACGAGGTGGTTACACGAGCAGCGGGTGAGTTCCGCTTCTTTGCTCGACAGGAACCACCCAGAGTATACGGTGATGTCTGGGTCGAGATCCCCTCGCTTCTTGAAATGGTATTTTCCCACATTGCGAGTGGCCTGGGAAACAGGGTCCGAATGCCATATGCTACAAGTGCATGTGACGGATCGTTGACTCCAGTTGATGGCATGCGCGGCATCCTTGATCTACACGGCAAAGCCGGCATCTTAGATAAGGAGCCACGATAGAGTCTCCAGAGTCGTCCTCGTCAGGGGCAGTTTCCTGCGCATCGTGGAGGGAGCGATGCGATGTGTCCCGTGCTTGTTCAAGCTGCCATGTCAGAATGAGAGGGACTGTGTGGTTGGCCCATGTGGGCGGTTAATCGTCACTTCGATATTTGCGCAAGGCTGACACATGTATCATCAGCACGGATGGACTAGCCATATTGGTTGGTGCCATGGGCAGTTCGTCAGTGAACGATTGGAGTTGTAAGCGCCTGGGCGCCAGCGTGGTACGAAGGAATGGCCATAAACAATGCCCTGCATCATTAGACAATACGAGACGGCCAGATGGAG